CACGCTCGGACCCGCTTCCGGTACGTCGCCCCGTCATTTCCGGTCAATACTCAACGCCTAAACCAACTTCCGGTTCGTCGCGCCTTCATTTCCGGTCAATACCGCACGCCAGAATCCACTTCCGGTACTTCGCCCCTTCGTTTCTGGTCGATACCGCACCCTGAGGTCCACTTCCGGTACGTTGCCTCTCATTTCCGGTCGATACCGCACCCTAGAGTCGACTTCCGGTACGTCGCCCCTTCATTTCCGGTCGATACCGCACCCTACGGTACCTAACCAGCCGGTAACCTAGCCAGCCGGTTAAGTTCCGAACTTAACTCCTGCTACAAGTTCCGAACCTAACCGGCCGGTTAAGTTCCGAACGTAACCATCCGGTTAAGTTCCGAACTTAACTCCTGGCACAAGTTCCGAATCTAACCGGCCGGTTAGCCCTGGTTTGCTCACTTTACTCGTGGTTATGTTGGTGTAGGCGAGGTTAGAGAGGGTAATTTCATGATTCCCAGCATTCCGAGGAGGGAAATCGAGGGGAAAAGGGGTGATTCGACGAGGTTAATCATCGAGGGATCGGAGATTGGCTCTCGGAGTACCGGAAGATGCTCACCAGGGTCGGAGACGAGGGGGGGGTCCGGCCCGAAAGAGCGGTGCGTGGCGGGAACGGATCGGAAAAGGGTTACCCACCCACCTAAAAATTGGAGCGCTGGAACGTGGTCAGAGACGCGACAAGGATACTCGTTAGTTCATAGGAACGCTTTTCCGGGGACTTACGTAGAATGGGCATAATTCGCCCCCTCCCCCCCTTCAAAAAAAAAATGAAAAAAACGGAAAGAATAATTCCTCAGACAACGCGTTGAATTCTCAGCGGAACGGCCGACTCAGGCCTCGCGAGATATTGAGAAATACATGAATCGACGGTAAGGTATGTGGTTCCGACGATTAGTTCAAGAAAAGGGAGGATTTTCGGATTTTTCGGATTTTCGAATTTTGAGGTGGATTTCGGGACACTTTTTTTTTTTTTTTTTTTTCTTTTTCTTTTATTTCATTTTTACCCTCCGTACCGAGTAGCCCTCGTCAGGAGGAGCAGCAAAAGGCGAGAGAAAAATAGAGTTTTTCCGTCCGACGCGTTTGTCGGGGGCTATCGATTTTTTTGATTTTTTTTTTCGGGATTTTTCCGAAAAATGGCCAATTTGACGGCTAAGGAGTGGCCGGACGGGGAAATCGATAAGCACCGAAAATGTCGGGCGTGAAAACACGGATAGGGTGGCAGAGGTCCGGTGGCGATCGGAGCGGTCGGTCGGTCGGGAGAGTCGAAAAACGGAGCCGGAAAGGGGAAATTCGATTTTTATTCCCCTCCGTTTTGACGGGGTTGCAGCGGGGGCCACCGATGGTCCAGGAAGGAGTAGCGGACGGTTTCCTACGTAAAAAGATGCGTAGTTTCGATTGCGATAGGTGGCGAGGCGCGGAAAGGGGTTTTTAGGGCGGTTTCGACGGTGGGAAGTGGGTGACTTATCATTCGGAGGACTTTCGAAGTTGTCAACTTGGACGAGGCCGTAGGGGCTTTTGCGGTGGTCTGCGGAGGGCGGTCCCATTTGAGTTTTTTTAGGGGACCGGTAGGGGTATCCAGCGGGCCCGGAGCCGAAGGGCTGGGAGGCGTTTCTTTTTTGGAAAAAACTTCGGGCGCGAATTTACGGCGCTGTAATTGCCCTGGAGGGCACTTTGCGAGGTAGTCGACTTCGGGAGTGAATTGCGATGGAAGTAGGGGTCGGGAGGCGGAAGCTTCGGCCCTAGGAGGGAAAGATGGACCCTTGGGAAGGTATCTAGAGGTCGCGGAACGATTTTGAAAAGCTGGCGTGCTGTAGCGGTGAGTTTGAAAAAAAAGTGGAACTTTTAATAGAGTGGTCGGGGGGAGCCGAATCTGTGCCAGGTTGCAGAGGAGGTCAAACTATTGAAAAATTTAAGCGAATTTTTCATTTTTTTTCAGTTTGCAGAGGGCTAAGTATGAGGGAGGTTCGCCCCTAGGGGCGAATTTTAAAAAATGGCGTAAGCTCCGTTATCGAGGAGGGATACCTGTCTACGCGTATACGCGGTGGGATCCGATCCAACCCCGTAATTATCGGTCGGACAATTTTTCGGGGTCGACACTTTGGAAATCCCTCCTACAAGACTCTATCGTGATAATATAAAATCCCTCGGAAGATGTTCCCACGTCCATCCGCGGAGCGGGGACTGCCGCGTAGTTTACTCTGTTTACTTCTTTTTTTTTTTTTAAGATATTTTTTTGAACCGAATTTTTTATTTTTTTTTTCAGTTTACGGAGGGCTAAGTATGAGGGAGGTTCGCCCCTAGGGGCGAATTTTAAAAAATGGCGTAAGCTCCGTTATCGAGGAGGGATACCTGGGATACCTGTCTACGCGTATACATGGTGGGATCCGATCCTACCCCGTAATTATCGGTCGGACAATTTTTCGGGCTCGACACTTTGGAAATCGCTCCAACAAGACTCTATCGTGATAATATAAAATCCCCCGGAAGATGTTCCCACGTCCATCCGCGGAGCGGGGTCTGCCGCGTAGACTACTCTCTTTACTTCTTTTTTTTTTTTTTTTAAGCGAATTTTTCATTTTTTTTCAGTTTGCGGAGGGCTACGTATGAGGGAGGTTCGCCCCTAGGGGCGAATTTTAAAAAATGGCGTAAGCTCCGTTATCGAGGAGGGATACCTGTCTACGCGTATACGCGTTGGGATCCGATCCAACCCCGTAATTATCGGTCGGACGATTTTTCGGGGTTGACACTTTGGAAATCCCACCTACAAGACTCTATCGTGATAATATAAAATCCCCCGGAAGATGCTCCCACGTCCATCCGCGGAGCGGGGTCTGCCGCGTAGACTACTCTCTTTACTTCTTTTTTTTTTTTTTTAAGCGAATTTTTCATTTTTTTTCAGTTTGCGGAGGGCTACGTATGAGGGAGGTTCGCCCCTAGGGGCGAATTTTAAAAAATGGCGTAAGCTCCGTTATCGACGAGGGATACCTGTCTACGCGTATACGCGGTGGGATTCGATCCAACCCCGTAATTATCGGTCGGACAATTTTTCGGGGTCGACACTTTGGAAATCCCTCCTACAAGACTCTATCGTGATAATATAAAATCCCCCGGAAGATGCTCCCACGTCCATCCGCGGAGCGGGGTCTGCCGCGTAGACTACTCTCTTTACTTCTTTTTTCATTTTTTTTAAGCGAATTTTTCATTTTTTTTTCAGTTTGCGGAGGGCTAAGTATGAGGGAGGTTCGCCCCTAGGGGCGAATTTTAAAAAATGGCGTAAGCTCCGTTATCGAGGAGGGATACCTGTCTACGCGTATACGCGGTGGGATTCGATCCAACCCCGTAATTATCGGTCGGACGATTTTTCGGGGTCGACACTTTGGAAATCCCTCCTACAAGACTCTATCGTGATAATATAAAATCCCCCGGAAGATGTTCCCACGTCCATCCGCGGAGCGGTTTCTGCCGCGTAGACTTCTCTGTTTACTTCTTTTTTTTTTAAGATATTTTTTTTAAGCGAATTTTTCATTTTTTTTTCAGTTTGCGGAGGGCTAAGTGTGAGGGAGGTTCGCCCCTAGGGGCGAATTTTAAAAAATGGCGTAAGCTCCGTTATCGAGGAGGGATACCTGTCTACGCGTATACGCGGTGGGATTCGATCCAACCCCGTAATTATCGGTCGGACAATTTTTCGGGGTCGACACTTTGGAAATCCCTCCTACAAGACTCTATCGTGATAATATAAAACCCCCCGGAAGATGCTCCCACGTCCATCCGCAGAGCGGGGTCTTCCGTGTAGACTACTCTGTTTACTTCTTTTTTTTTTTTTAAGATATTTTTTTTAAAGCGAATTTTTCATTTTTTTTCAGTTTGCGGAGGGCTTAGTATGAGGGAGGTTCGCCCCTAGGGGCGAATTTTAAAAAATGGCGTAAGCTCCGTTATCGAGGAGGGATACCTGTCTACAAGTATACGCGGTGGGATCCGATTCAACCCCGTAATTATCGGTCGGACAATTTTTCGGGGTCGACACTTTGGAAATTCCTCCTACAAGACTCTATCGTGATAATATAAAATCCCCCGGAAGATGTTCCCACGTCCATCCGCGGAGCGGGGTCTGCCGCGTAGACTACTCTGTTTACTTCCTTTTTTTTTAAGATATTTTTTTTAAGCGAATTTTTCATTTTTTTTCAGTTTGCGGAGGGCTAAGTATGAGGGAGGTTCGCCCCTAGGGGCGATTTTTAAAAAAATGGCGTAAGCTCCGTTATCGAGAAGGGATACCTGTCTACGCGTATACGCGGTGGGATCCGATGCAACCCCGTTATTATCGGTCGGACAATTTTTCGGGGTCGACACTTTGGAAATTCCTTCTACAAGACTCTATTGTGATAATATAAAACCCCCCGGAAGATGCTCCCACGTCCATACGCGGAGCGGGGTCTTCCGCATAGACAACTCTGTTTACTTCTTTTTTTTTTTTTTTTTTTTAACCCTTTGACTCCTACGCCCGACCTAAGTTGTCCTTCAAAAACCGCGCCCACAGCCTACGCCCGACTATAGTCGTTTTGTAACTTCTTTTTGTATTTGCCGCTCTTGAGGACGTCTAAGTTTCAAACAGTTCATCAAGACAAAGCGAGCCCGTTTTGGTATCAAATTTTATAAACTTTGCCAGAGTGACAGTGGATGTATCTGGGACATAATGTTATACTTAGGTGCTAAGACTGAAATAGCAGATAAGTATCATATTGGCAAAAGTGGGGCTATTGTCACTACTTTATTAGAGCCTCTATTCAAAAAAGGGTATAACGTATTTGTTGACAATTTTTATACCAGTTCAACTCTAGCTGTTCTGTTGAGGCAAAAAGGATCTAATATTTGTGGAACCGTCAAAAAAAAACAGAAAAGGGATGCCTATTTTCCCACCACTACAAGAAGGAGAAGTTTTTGCTAAGTTTTCAGACGGGATGATGGCTCTGAAATACACTGACAAACGAGATGTGCACATGCTGTCAACAATTGATAAGTTCTCCATGGCCGAGCCCCCTAAGAAAAAAGCGCACATCACTGATACTATTCTCAAGCCAGTTTGCATTTTGAATTATAATAAAAATATGGGGGGTGTAGATCACACTGACCAACTTTTGAGCAGCACTGAGAGTGTGAGGAGGACCGTCAAATGGTACAAGAAAGTTTTTTTTCATCTTCTGGACAGCTCTATCTTGAACGCACATGTTCTTTTTCAATTAGTGACTAACAAAAAAGTATCTATTTATGAGTACAAGCTGAAGATAATTGAGCAGCTCATTGAGCAGCAACAAGGACCAAGGAGACGACCATCAGGTGGAAAACCATCGACAAGTGAAACACCCCTAAGACTACTTGGACGCCACTTTCCAACCTTCATTCCACCTACTGAAAAGAAGATATCCGTCGCCCGTAAATGTCTTGTCTGTGCAAATACAAAATTAGGAGTTCAAAAGAGGAGAGAAAGCCGCTATGAGTGTCTTGATTGTAGAGTAACCCTATGTGTTGCACCATGCTTTCAGAAATATCACACCCAACTAAAATTTTGAGGAAACTTTTTCAAGCCTCGGTTATTCTCTTAGATTTAGTGTTTTTATGAAGTGATATTTTTTTTAATTCAAAGATTGAAATGTTTTACTAAAGCATGTAGAATGCATTTTTGCATGTTTTCTTTTTTGGTGATAGTTTGCCACTTGAGTGATGATAAATAAATAATTTTTCAAAAAAAAGAGTAAAAAATCTTAAATTTTAGTGTTTTTTGATTATAACATTTTTTTGGGTACTGGAAATTAACTTTTGATGACTGATCTTCATTCCTCATACCCTCGGCATGACACACACAAAATTTCAAGCTATTTGGAGGAGAAATAAGCGAATGGCGGTGAGAAAACAAAAAGCTGTCAATTATGCATGATTTCTCGTTCCTAACCTAGGCTGGGGGTGCGCGCTCTGAACCACATACTCAGGAGTCAAAGGGTTAAGATATTTATTTTTTAAGCGAATTTTTCATTTTTTTTCAGTTTGCGGAGGGCTAAGTATGAGGGAGGTTCGCCCCTAGGGGCGAATTTGTAAAAATTGCCTTAGGTTAGGTATCGAGGAGGGATACCTGGGATTACTGTCTACGCGTATACGCGGTGGGATCCGATCCAACCCCGTAATTATCGGTCGGACAATTTTTCGGGGTCGACACTTTGGAAATCCCTTCTACAAGACTCTATCGTGATAATATAAAACCCTCCGGAAGATGCCCCCACGTCCATCCGCGGAGCGGGGTCTTCCGCGTAGACAACTCTGTTTACTTCTTTTTTTTTTTTTTAAGATATTTTTTTTTAAGCGAATTTATCATTTTTTTTTCAGTTTGCGGAGGGCTAAGTATGAGGGAGGTTCGCCCCTAGGGGCGAATTTGTAAAAATTGCCTCAGGTTCGGTATCGAGGAGGGATACCTGTCTACGCGTATACGCGGTGGGATCCGATCCGACCCCGTAATTATCGGTCGGACAATTTTTCGGGCTCGACACTTTGGAAATCCCTTCTCTAAGACTCTATCGTGATAATATAAAACCTCACGGAAGATGCTCCCACGTCCATACGCGGAGCGGGGTCTTCCGCGTAGACAACTCTGTTTACTTCTTTATTTTTTTTTTAAGATATCTTTTTTTAAGCGAATTTTTCATTTTTTATTCAGTTTGCGGAGGGCTAAGTATGAGGGAGGTTCGCCCCTAGGGGCGAATTTGTAAAAATTGCCTTAGGTTCGGTATCGAGGAGGGATACCTGGGATACCTGTCTACGCGTATACGCGGTGGGATCCGATCCAACCCCGTAATTATCTGTCGGACAATTTTTCGGGGTCGACACTTTGGAAATCCCTTCTACAAGACTCTATCGTGATAATCTAAAACCCCCCGGAAGATGCTCCCACGTCCATCCGCGGAGCGGGGTCTTCCGCGTAGACAACTCTGTTTACTTCTTTTTTTTTTTGTTTAAGATATTTTTTTTTAAGCGAATTTTTCATTTTTTTTCAGTTTGCGGAGGGCTAAGTATGAGGGAGGTTCGTCCCTCGGGGGGAATTTGTAAAAATTGCCTTAGGTTCGGTATCGAGGAGGGATACCTGGGATACCTGTCTACGCGTATACGCGGTGGGATCCGATCCAACCCCGTAATAATCGGTTGGACAATTTTTCGGGGTCGACACTTTGGAAATCCCTTCTACAAGACTTTATCGTGATAATATAAAACCCCCCGGAAGATGCTCCCACGTCCATCCGCGGAGCGGGGTCTTCCGCGTAGACGACTCTGTTTACTTCTTTTTTTTTTTTTAAGATATTTTTTTTTTAGCAAATTTTTCAT